ACGCGGGCAGGAGCTGTGGCCCCCGGGAGCAGGTTTGCCGGCAGGATTTGTGACCCCAGGGGGACCCAAGCTGGAGCAGCTGCTCCTGAAGGTCGGCACCCCATGGGGGGGCTCACACCGGAGCAGTTGGTGCGAGGGACCCCAGGCTGGAGTGTGAGGAGGATATTTCTTATTACCCTACTCTGATTTCACTGGCAGTAAATTAAATAAGTTTCCCCAAGTCGAGTCTGTTTTGCCCGTGACAGTAACTGGTGAATGATTTCCCTGTGCTTATCTATCGCCCGCGGACTGTATTTCCTCTCCCCTGCCCAGCTGAGGAGGAGAGTGATGGAGCCGCTTTGGGGGGTACCTGCCCTCAGCCAGGGTCAGCCCTGCACAAACTTCAGCCTCCCCAAATCATCCACCTGCTGGCAACCACAAAGAGCTGATTTTTGCAGATTAACCCCCAAATAATTTGCAGTGGTTTTAGGCACCAGCAGTTTTGGTCAACTTCCGTTGTGTTGAAAACTGCTCAGACTCTCCGCATGTTCTCTCCGTAACTTTGTGTGCCCATATTGTAAGATGCGGGCTGGCACATTCCTGTCTTGTATGGACCCGTGGGTGCGTGTTATGTATTGGTGTAAAACACAAACCAGATACCTGCCAGCCTGCGTCTTTATACATAAACAGGTAATTGTTCTCCTTGCACAGCAGCACTAGTGTTTCAGGATACCTAGAAGATGTTTCAGAGCAGGGGCGGGAGCTTGCAGTTGGCTGTTTTCTGGAAATGGCAATACCTGGGCTTTGTTTTAAGTCTGTGCTGGATCGGATGATTTTTTTTTTTTTTTTAAAAAAAGAGTCACATTTGCTTATGAATTAAAAAAGTGAAAAATGGCGATTGGCAAATGTTAATTGATAGATGTTGATTGATAAATGTTAATTTGCCAATGTTAATCAGTTATTAATCAGTTATAAATGTTATAAAGTTAATAAATAACATTTATAACTGATTAATGATAAATCAGTATTGGCAAATACCGATTAACCTCTCCAGAAGCGTTACGAACTAAGAAGAGTTGAGATGGAAAACTGCGTGTATGATTTGGTCGCCGCATAAGTTGCGGAAGAGGTATTTCTGCATTAGCAGTCATGCCTTAGAGCTACTTGTGAACTAAATGCATTAAGGACACGTTTCCCTCACGTCAGAGGGGTATTTCAGCCCCTGTCAGCAAATGCCGTGAGGAATACCGCCTGGGCTGCCTAGTTCCTGGGCTTTTCTACAGAGAGGGAGAGTAAATAGGAAAACCCTTGAAGATTTCTTGTGCTGGTGCTCAAGCAGAGTTGGGGCTGCGGGGGGGGGTTATGTTAGAACGACGCTTTGCTCTCCAGCAGAATGATTGATACTGAGTCATTGTGGTGTATCTTGGCTTTGCTCCTTCTGGAGACTCGAGTACTGGTACCCGAAACCTGGGCTGGCAGTTCATGGTGACATGCAGTAATCTCGTGGGAGGGACTGGACTGTTGGTGGGGAAAGCGCAGTTCTTCACTGCCAGAATTTAGTCATAAACACTACTTCTGGTGTGCTGATTAAGGTTTTTCCCTGATCGGGGTAACAGCTGCGTAAAACGCACATCCCACGTGAGCGATGGTTAACGCTGCGTAACGCGCTCCCCTTCTACCTGTAACCATCGGATGTTCCCTCTGTTGCAGGGAGAACCACGAACCGGAACGACTGGGTTTAAACGGCATAGCAGAGACAACAGTAGCCATGGAAGTGACATAACCTCAAACCAGCATCTCAGCCTGTGCTAACGGTGTAGTCGTTTATATTCCAACCGAATGCAAAACACAGCGCTCTGTGGATCACAGAGAACTAAAATGGACCTAAATGGACTATCATTATATCGTGTATTAAGTCGATATATAATGTAAATTTTGTAAAATTGGGAAAATCACTACCTTGTAAAATAGTTTATTTGTATCATCAATATTATTTCTGTTACTTGAATAGTAGATATTCATCATCATGCTTTTGCACTTGAATTTGCAACTGAATGGATTAAAAAATAATTCTTTAATGGGATCATGAGCATGAAATGGGATCCTGCATCACTTGTTTTAACTATTTATTTTGCCATGTTTACATTTTGTATCTTGTACAAATAAATCCAACTTTGTGTCTAAAAAAAAAAAAGTTAAAGATTCATAGCTAGGAAACAAAATTCTTGTAATTTTTTTCTAAAGGAAATGTAAAGTTTTCACTTGGTTCATTTTGTTTCACAATTTGACTAGATGGACTTTTTGGTAAATACTTTAGTGGCATTTCACTGTCAAATATGAAGTTCAAGGCAAAATAGTATTTTCTATTACTGTGCAGGGGAAAGGGATGGATCGATACATGCAAATTTAATGTAGTAACTCACTTTTCCATATATTTTGAATGTATATTTCTATTTATAATACCAGTTTATAAAAAAAAATAATTACACAGGAAAAAAAAACTGACTAGGAAAATTATGCATCTAGCACACATAAAATTGTGCAGATATGAGAAAATTTTCAACTGATTACATTTTATCTGAAGACTGCATATTTTAACCGGCTTTAAAACTGTAACACACCACATAAAGGATATTTTACCAGGTATGTATTGCATTATATATCATTGCAATAATTAATTATTGGATGTCTAGATATCGAGCCATCCCAGGTGGTGGGGGGGGAGGGAGGGTTGTGGCAAGATTGTCTTTTCAATTTTGGAGAGTTTTCCTGTGGCTACAAGGCAAGTAACGGGTTGGAAAAAGTCTGACTGTAAGCGTTGGACACCTTCGTAGTGTAGTGTTTTAGTGACTTTTTTTATACGGTTCTTGTAAATTAGATACGTGTAGTGGTGTTTCAGAATGTTTGTTTATGCACTAGTTCAGACAACTTTCCCTGTTACTTGTTCTTGATAAGTGAAAACTGCAGGGAAATAAAAATACATATCAAAACATGGACATGGATATGTGTTTATTTCACAATGTGCAAGCGATGGAAGTGTCAGTTTTAGAGGATAATAGTGGCCTTGGGATGATTTTGACCCCAGCGCATGCCTTGTTTTCCGAAAGGTTTCGGTTTGTGTGGTTATTTCCTGCAGCGTACAGCAGGGGAGGGATGGTCCGGTCCCTGGGACCAGAGTCCTGGAATAATCAGAATGAAACAGTTTCTTGTTCTGCCAAAGAAACTTCAGGTATTACTTTGGGTGAATCACTTGAATTTTCTGCTCTTTGGTTTTCCACCTGCAATTTGGATAATGTCTCTGTATTTCTTATAACTAAGAGAATCATTGAGCTTGGAAGGAGCCTCAGGACATTGTCTAGTCCAGCCCTCACCCCCCGCAAAAAAAGGTCAAAACGTGATTTGCCTGCGTCGTGCAGTCAGTGTATTTTTTTCCTCTTAGCTTTTTATATAAAGAGCTATTTTTAATCTGAGTTTAAATATGTTTTGTCTTCTGTTCTGTTACTTGAAAGTTCTGACAGTTAAACACATGTACAGAGCTTTACATACTGGGTGCTTGTCAGAATCTCAGGTGTCTAAAATTTACTCTTTTCTGCGTAACTGATGCTTGATTTTTTATTTTTTTTTTAATTATTCTTCCGTATGAAGTCTTCAAGGAGAGCTGCTACTAGATGGTGGTGTTGGGAATAGTCAGAGGAACCCACGACACCTCCGTGTCACTCCCCACCTTGCTCGGGCAAGGTGTGAGGGCAGCACCGGGGCTGTCGGCACAGGGTGCCGTTACCGAACAAGTGGTGTTTTACACGTACGTGATCTTTCCACCTGGGTCTAAGGTGTGGCGTGGTGCCTTCCTGGGAGTGAGTGGCCTAGGTGGTCTGGGGTATGAACGTGTTTCTTTTGAAAGCAGAATTGTTGCAAATCTGAGTCTGGAAAAGAGAAAAGCAGCTCTTCTTGTCGATATTTAAAAATAACCTTGCTTCTCTTAACAGAAACCTCTAAAGAGTTTTGGGGATACTGAAAATGTGAAGTCATTTCTCCTGCGGATTGCAAGTTGGACACTTGGCAAACGGCAGCTCTGGGGTAGACTTCGCTCACCACAAACAGATCGCTTTCCTGGTAAATGGGACAGAAAATGTCTCTAAAGTTGCTGTGTATCTATGCCTTGGTGCAGTCTAATCCTCTCCTAATTACTTAGAAGCTCCAGCAAAAGGTTTTTTTAACTTTTAATAGAGTCTGGACAAATGTGGGGAGGAGAAAAGGATTTCATAAACTCCACAGGCTGTATGGTAAACATGCCATAGGCCGAGTTAGTGTTGCCGTAGCTTTACCCTAAGGTACAACTCTAATAGTTGTCTCAAGAATTTCCAGCAATTAGTGGTGTGGCTCAGGAAAAGGAGAGTGCTGAATAATAACTGCAGTCCACAGAAATGTTAAAAAGGAGAAAGAAAAGGGGGTATTGTTGGAAAGTCGTCTACTTTCTCCTGGCGCTGCCATACAGCAGGGAATAGGAATGACTGAGTTCTGTTTGTGCCCTGCTTTAAAAGTGAGTGGTGAGGATATGACACTTTTCTCATTCCCTTATCTGAACATCTTCTACGGTACATTTGGAATAGGGATTTCTGTTCTGTTCCACACTGGGGAATGTTGGTCAGGTAAGATTTCTGAATGTAGTTTGTCTACAGCAACTTACACTCGACTTCAGGTGTAATGTGCAGAGTTTTCCCTTAAGTGTCAGGTACCACAAAATGATCATGCTTTTTCTAGGAAGGTTTATCTAATTTATTTAATCACAGACTGGTTTGGGTGGGAAGGGACCTTAAAGCCCTCCCAGCCCCCCCCCCTGCCATGGGCAGGGACCCCTTCCACTAGTCCAGGTTGCTCCAAGCCTCATCCAGCCTGGCTTTGGACACTTCCAGGGATGGAGCACCCACAGCTTCTCTCGGCAACCTGTCCCAGTGCTCCCCACCCTCTCTGGGAAGAATTCCTTCCTGATGTCCCATCTCAATCTCCTTCTTTCCATTTAAACCCCTTGTCCTGTCACTACAGGCCCTTGGAAAAAGCCCCCCCCACCCCCAGGACCCAGCCTCCCTGTAGCCCTCCCAGGCACTGGAAGGGGTGGACGAGGCGCTCAGGGACAGGGGTCAGTGGTGGCCTGGGCAGTGCTGGGGTAACGGTTGGACTCGATGGGCTTAAAGGGCTTTTCCAACCTGAATAAGTTCTGTGATTCTATGATCTAACCAACCAATTAGGTGGAAAACTTTAGATAGATGCAGTTATCTGTGAGCTGCAGTGATCCTGGGTCAGTTTAATCTCCCCGGAAAGCTGTCAGATGCAGTCGGTGTGGAGGCGGTGTGCTGATGTATGGAGCCCCACTGTTGAACCAGGTGGGCCCAGGAGCTCCCCAGAGCAGGAGGCTGCTTAGGAGGGGATGTCTGGGACAAAGAACAGGCAGTTTTAGGGCCAGGGCAGTGTTACTTGAAGCCAGGGCGCACTGTGCACTAGATGGTAGGCACCGGGGGTAGGTGGGGAACAGCGCGGGAGCGGTCAGTGAGGGCTGTGGTGCTTCCCAGCACGTCCCACTGTAACCGCATTATCTGGAGCCTGTTGCTTGGCACATGTTGGATGTGGCTTTGAGCAACCTGGTCTAGTGGAAGGTGTCCCTGCCCATGGCAGGGGGGTTGGAACTAGATGATCTTTAAGGTCCCTTCCAACCCAAACCAGTTTGTGATTCTATGATTCTATGTTAGATACCCTGCTATGTTGTTCTAGCACATAGAAGAAACACCACAGAGAAATAAAGCAGCCTTCTAGCTATTTGCAGAGTGCCTAAATGCATTTAACAGCAGCATTTCTCCTGTAGGCCAGCGATAATGCCTGAGAACAGCGTATGTGTGAGATGGGAATATATTTGGGTAACATTCTTTACAAAGCTTTACTTAAATGGCCAGCAGGAGAACGTAAAGATGTGCTTCTGCGAGAATGTAGTACTGGTTACGTTTCTGTTTGGTAAGAATGACTAAGAACAGGAGTTTGAAGGAGGCTGCAGTTCTTACTCATACATCATCCTGCCCTTTTAACAGCTCACCAAGGCTTTAACTTGTGTATCTCATCCCTCTGCTCATGAGCACAGAGCTGCCTTAAAGGGGAGACCCCAGAACGCTTCCAGGTGAACTGACTGAAGGTAGTTGCGTCTTCGACTGTGTAAGGGGAAACCTAGGAATACCAGTGTCCCACTTGCAGGACCCCAGCAGCGATGTCTGAAGCTAGGTGGGGCGACATTCTCGCTTCTCCCTATGCTGGCCTGATGGTGCCATCCTGCTGCAGTGACGGCCAGTACCTGAAACGGCATTCCCTTGTGGGAGAAGGTTTGTTCCTCAAGTGCCCTGCTCTTATGCAGGAGGAAAAGGGAGTTTCAAGCTCAGTTCCCTGTTTTCTCAGCAACTTGCTTTCCGAGTCACATGGAGTATGACGAAACACAATCTGTGTGCGCTTTGGACTTCAATGGGGTAATCTCAAAAAATTAATGAAGAGCACCCATGCACGTTACATTTCGCTATGAATTTCACCCCATTTAATCCCAGCCTAGTGTCACCCAGTAACTAGAGTTTAAAGAAGAAAAAAAGGAATTCATGTAGCTAGAATAGGGCTAAAACCCGAAAATAAAAGGGAGTGACAGTGAAGCAACTGAACTGCTTCCTGAACGTGGGCCATGTCCACTCCTCAGTGGCGTTGTTCATCCCTTTTCCTGAATATCAGCATCACCTTCCCATTCCTGCCCTGCACGGGGCAGTGTTAAAAGTGGTGTGGTCCCTGTACCAACTGTGAAAACCACGTAGCACAACCCAGGGCCCCTCCCCCGTCTCGGAGCGAGGGGATATGCAGAGATGGAGAGACACGGGGGCCCAAAATCCCTGTGCAGAAAATGTGGGAGTTGCCTTGCGCCTTGCCGGCATGCTGGAATAGCTGTTTCCCTGCACCCCAGGTACACTGCTTGTTTCTCCTAAAGTTACAGTTGGTGGTGGGACTAAAAATGGGAAAAATCTGTTTAATCCATCTAGTTTCAATCCATTACTGCTGGTCTTACTCTAATACATCTGTAATTACACAGGGAGGATAATGTAGAAAGACCAATTAGGGAGCAAGGGGCAAATGAAGGAGGGAGGCAATTAATTAAGGCTATACTATAGCAGATGAAGATAAGGGGAGATTTGTAATGGAACAGATATCAGCCTACGTCTTCCGGTCTGACAGAAGTACACAATGACTTCCTTAGAGTTCTGACAGGTAAGATGAAAAGACTGACCACAGCGCTGTATCGTAGCGTATTCTGGCAAGATCTCGCCTATTCAGGAGTATCTGCAAAAATAAACCAGTAGTGTGTCTGTCAGCTGTGGAACTCTCCTAAGGAGAGTGGCAAGAAGTTCGTGGGCAGAAGACGATCAACTGACCAAGGCTTAGGCACCATCAGTAGGCGTCACTGCAGTTGAGATGGGTTTTTGACAGAGGTGCAAAGACCTGCCTTCAGCAAGCTGCAAGGTGGCCCCATCAGCTCCGACGGCACCAGCCTGGCACTCCTGCTTTCCCGCCATCGCTGGCCAGCTTCGCTGACTCTTCCTGGATTACTGTGATTTCATCGAACCCTGCCCTGGGGAAAAAGCCGTGATCTGACTAGACGGGCCCTGGATTTAAACGAGCAGCTCTGTAAGTGACACCAGAAGAT